CAAAAGCCGTGACCCCTCTATGGTCAGGGATGCCTCCTGTGACTGTTCACTCAACTCTTGCTCAGCTTTTGGCTAACACATAGCTCATACTAAGGCCTGATGCACGCTGGGAGCAGCATCATTAGGTCAAAGCAAAGGTAACAGGTAGGCAGGCCACAATAGACAGGAAGAGATAAAGATCATTATGCAGCCATTATCACCTGCAGCTTGCTGTCTCCCACAGCCAACGTTCTTGCATACTGATTGTCTGGCACCCTTTTCAGAATCCACTAACTTATGGAAATTGTATAGACCAAACCCCCAGACTGACAGGTATAAATACATCAGCTTATCCAAAAGGTGTTTGAAGCTGATCCAACAGCAGACAGACTGCTAAGGCTTTCATGCCTTCTGGTGTGATACAAGGGACGTTCATGCTGTGACAGAAGAGGAAAGAGGGAGGACCCTCACCATGAGCTACAGTACTGTGACACACCCTCTGTGACACCCCCTCCGTCATTATTCTTCTTCTGAGGATTGTCTATGGTTATTGTATTGCACACTGATTATTAAGAATTTGACCTGATCTGCGGAGGGTCCAGGTGACTGAAGATACCGGTAACTGCAATTTTAGCTAATAGGAAAGCTATCCTAATTGCTAGAAATTCTGTGTAAGGATAAGCTATGCTGATTACTAAAATCTTTCTATAATAATATAAAATCTTTCTATAATAATAAAGTTCTAATTATAACTACAAAAGTGTGGCCTTTTCTCATTCTACCAAGGAGCCTTAAAAGCACTTGCTTGTCCCCATAGTATCAGGTAGTGCTGAGTGACACTATTATTCATTTTTTCCATTTTGTGTGGACACTAAGTTCAGGCTTAGCTGACTCTGACGGGTCTTGTTGATGCTCACCAGTGCCCAGAGTACTAATACCTATTTTGAAATTGGAGATCTGTGGGTGGAACATATCTGCAACTTCTTCTTGTTGCCAGAAGTCACAAGCTTCCAGTCTTCTCCATCTTGATAGTCTCCATCCACCTGGTATCCAGCTGTCGCTCCCCCCTCACCTTGTGTAGCTTGGGTTTTCCACAAATACCATGTCAGTCTCCTCTTCATCTTCCCTCTTAATCTGGAACCTCAGGACCTTGACCACAGCACATCTCCCACAAGAGAAGCCACCACTGCCCTGACCTCCGGGGAGAGGCAGAAGAACTCTCCAGCACAGGACCTGGATAGAGGGCTCCTCCCTCTGAGCCAAGGACTCTGATATGCTAATGGTAGTCCTGTGGACTATTACTACACCTTAATGGACATCCATGTGCTAGACACTACGTCCTGAAGCATGTTGAGACCACCACTGTACAGTCTTCAAGAAGACCCACATAGTCTGGAGTGGAATTTCTGAGCCTCTTTGCACTCCTGCTGCAACAACTGCTGTCTCATTTGCTACGCTCTGTAGGCTGTGCTCTGGCTTCCTTGCTCTTTCCTTAACAGGTCCCCTTCTGTAAGAATATAATCCTGCCCACATCACCACCACCCTGAGCCCCCATTCCCTAGCTTTTAAAGTTCTGTCGCTGCTGTACTGCCCTGTCACCTACACCTACACCTCACAGCAAATTTGATTGGACTGGGTCCTGAGCAACCTGATCTAGCTTTGAAGTGATGCCTTCTGTGAGCAGAAGGTAAAATGAGATCGTCCCAGGTCCCTTCCAACTGAAATCATTGTACATTTCTATGTCAGGTTCCCTGTTGAACATACACTGAGGTTCAGCTGGCTTCATTTTAAGAGCCAGCAATGACCAAAGCAAGTATATGTTCCACATGAGGTGTAGAAATGCATTCAACAAAGTTACAGCACACAGCTTTTGGGACAGGAAAAGAAAGAACCTCGGTCTCGCTCTGGTAGCCTTTGTGTAAGAGTGAGGCCAATTAAAAGGCCCTAGACTTTGTTTACATGTCTGATCGTAAACTGTCAAAGATACATGACCTGCACTGTATATTCTATTACCAGATCACTACCAAATGAGCTAATAAAGTTATGGCTTAATTAACCCCTACCACTTGCCTGTTGTTTTTCTTCCTGTGTGACTAAGCCAACCATACACCTTACGCTGCACATTAGAAAGTAGCCCAAAATTCCACTCAGTTTCAGTGTCTGGCTGCAGAACCTTCTCAACCACATCAGCCACAAGCTGGCACTTTTGTAATTCTGCAACATTCTGAAGAAAAATAAAGATGAAAAGAAAAAAAATCTTCTATCACAACATACACCAAAATCCTCATTGTCTGCCGTGGAAGTAAGCTTTCCAATCATCCCTGTTGAAGCAGTGGTTTCCCCAGGCTGCCATTCAGCAGACATATTACCCTCCTCCCCAAAACAGAGAGCACAAAACATAAGAAGTTAAGAAGAATCTCCAAATGCTGCTGAAGTATACTTATCCACAAGCCTCACTTAATCATGATTTCAACTCTCTCCCTAATATGTTTAGATTAATGTGTCAGTAGTCACACTGAAGTTTTCTGGCTGAAACCTGAACCAAATCTACATGACCTATAGAGAGCTAAGTGTGACTGAGTTATTCTATAACAGTTTAAGAAAAGCTTCATATAACTCTGTCTAACCATACAGAAAGCAGTCCAACTTAAAATTTCCAGGACGTAGACTTCTCAAAGTAAACAAAGCATTAGAATGCTTGTATATAGATTTCATATCTGTATTCCCAGGTTGCTGGGGGGAGAATGACTGTGTATTTATTTATTTTAATACCTTTAATATTCAAGTGTTTGGGTCATTTTTACCACCGGGTACTAAATTAGCATGCTAAACATAAAATTTGGAAGTTTTGCCCCCCACACTTCCAGCCTGCAATCTCCCTCCCTTTAAGCTCTGTCTCCTGCTCCTTACTTTGCCAGTAAGCAGGAGAGAATATCGTGATCCTCCTGCTCCCCCATTATTTCTTCACTACTTCTCCAACTCTCCCCAGGACTCCACAGACAACAGGAGTATAGGTAAGCCTCACACTGCTGGCTCATATTCCCCCTTCATTCCTCTCCTCCTGCTACTGGCACATTCATATACCTCTGCAGAACTGACATGATACTACTCTGCATCTGCAAAGCTCTCTCATCACCCTATCATCCACGCAGAAAGAGGCTGCTCCCTCATTAACAGCCACTCATCATTTCAGTATCCGACTGCTGAAATACCGAGAACAGAATCAGGAGTGGGGCCTAGAAGGTGGTGCACCATTCAAAGGGAGAATCCCTGGATAGATGTACAAGCTATTCAAACTCACTAAAATGAGTGAAGGACAGAAATAAAGGTTCATTATTTTAAGTCTGTGTCAAAACCACCATTTGTTTCAAATGAGAGTACAGGAGTAATAAAACAAAGTCTTGTTAAAAATCTGACAAATTATACCACTCAAGAGATCTCTCCACTTGACATTTCCACTGTTCATTTGTGCAGAACCAATTTCTGGAAAGATTATTTACAACTGGATTTTCATTCACAGCTCTACATCCAAAAGTCAGGAGGATCACAAATTTTAAGCAGATGAACTAAATTGACAGGACTATTCAAGTTGATGTTAAACACTCCAGTATCTCCTAAACTACAGGGTAAAAGCTTGCCTAACCTGAGCATTTAAAAGGACAACCAAACTTAAGCACACTAGGCTTTGTAACTTCCTTTTCATATATAAAACTTAATGCCAATATTTTAAAAAGAAAAAAAGAAAGAACATTATAGTTCTGACAGACTTGGAACAAACAAAAAACAAAGACCAGACTACATAATCATTCCCAGATCTCCATTGTTCTGGGATTCACATGGTGTATTAAACGTATTTTAAGGCGTCTTTGCTTTAGTCTTTTTGGTATTTCACACACCACCTTTGACCTGTTTGATTCGGTTCTAAATTTAACTCCCTTCAACCCTCTTTGATTTGGATACACCACTCTTCACGAATGTTTCTATGCTTTAACCACACACAAGAGTTCTCCTTGAATTTTCCTGACTGTGCTGCTAGGTGGTACTTCAACTCTAGCAGAAACAATGTGTCCTGGTTTTGGTTAAAACAGAACCGATTCGCTTTTAGTGAATCTTCCTTACAGCTAAGTTCCTCTAAGTAACTGCATTTTTCTGAGGCTGGCTGCATATTTTACAGACACTGTCTGCTCCAAAGCTGGTAACGCCTAATGTTTATAGTCTTATTGAGCTATTGGTAGGAATGGAAGGCAGAAAAGGCCCCTGTTTATAATTATTACTATAGCAGCCAAGGTCACTAACAGACCTTTTATGTTCCACAAATAAGGAGTCATAAAGGGTGATACTCGCAGGGAGGGGCAGACAGAACAGGTGACCCAATATTGGCCCACTAGGTAACCTATGTCATCGCTGTCCTACGATCACGATGGTCTTGCTCTCTTTGTCCATGGCTGGCTTCTGAACAGGACCCTGTTCCTTGTCCCGCCTGCAATCTTGATCCAGATTCTGATCCGTGCATTCCTGAGTCCAGTTCCCGTCTACTGCTGAGTGCAGTCCAGGACTGCCTGGTGCTGCCTGGCAGCTGCTGCGGCGAAGCCGGTGCCCGCAGCACCCAACTCCAGGAAACTCAGTATCAGTTTTGTATAATTTATTTCTCTTATTATTATTAGTATTATTAGTGTTATTAGTAAAGTTGTTTTAATATTCCATTTGTAAGTCTCTCTCCCTTTTCCTCCTTTGTCCCTTCCCCTGGTGGGAAGGCAGGGGTTAACAGAGAGCATCTGCCACTCTGCTTACTGCTGCCTTGCTCTGAACAGTGACCCACTGACAGTGCCACACAAGCAGCAGTGCCATACTCAGCTGTTGCATAATCTCCACTCCCACTCAGCTCAGCACAGTTGTTGCCTTCAGGCCCAGAGGCAGGCTGCCTGCCTTGTGAGTTGTGAGGGGAAGCAGGTGAACAGAACACCACTGTGGTAGAACAAAGGACACGCTAGAACAACCCATCCATTAGATCAGTAACATACCGTTACTCCAGATATAATCGGGGCTTTTCCTTCAATTAGTTTATATATTTCTTGAACTGCTTCCTCATCACTCTTGTCTTTAAATCGCTTCTTGGAGAGTTCTTGAAGAGCTTCCTTAAACTGCTCAAAAGTGATAGTTCTGGAAGACTTTCCTCTGTCAAAACACACAGAAATTGAAAGAAATTACAGGAGAGCACAACAAGTGTTCCAAGAACAGCAGAATGGTTTCAGTTTATCACTGTGAACAACCGAAAACTGCAAGAGAACAGGAAGATCCACGCAGCCCACTTACAGCGTCAAATAAATCACATCCCAGGAACATCACTTTCTTTTTTACACACATCAGTAGGACAGCACTTTAGAAACTTCCCTTGATGAACATTTAGAAATACAGGGGAAATAAAGGGACCTGGCCTGCTGCCAGAATGCCTCCAGCTCATCAGATCAAATATAGTCTCATTTGGTTGATCACTTGGAAAGCCTGCATGCATAAAAACCAAGAACTGAAGCATCATAGGTGAGGTTTGTTATTTAATGTTTCAATTCCTCTCTGAGTAACTGGTTATAACATATTATTCATGGGTCACTATTCATGTATTCACAAGTAAATTAAGAATAATGCTGTTGCGTAAAGCAAACTATTGAAAAGCATTTTTAAAACTTGAAATTCCTCCTCTACTAAAGACTGACAAATTTTGAAGTGATGCATTTAAATTCAATACCTGTCATCTTTCTTAGACAATCGCCTTCATAAAACATTACAGGCTCATGGAAAACACAGCATAGCAGTCTGACAGACTCCTAAAATCGGCAGAAATTCAGAGCTGAAGCCTTGCTGTAGTTTTCACCACTAGAAAGCTGTTCTTTCCACACTAGTAAATTACGTGCACAGGTTTACTTTTAGCGGAGAATATATTTCGGTAACAGTGTACAGTGCAAATTCTGATAAGTAGAGTGGAAAATTCACAGTTTGCAAATTATTTGTAAATTATTTATAATTTATACTGTCACTCCCGCAGATCTTTTACACCTATCAGGCCAAAGGGTTCAGCTGAAAAAATACTTACAAAGAAACTCCGCATTCACTACAGAGATGTGTTTAACCAAAAGGGTATTAATGCAAGTCTGTTTTCAAGTATTTTAAAATATTCAGTTTAGGCAGTAGATAATGTAGTGGAGTACACACTGGTCCTTTCCTTTCCCTAATACAAAACTATATTTAGTGTTATTCATTTTAAAATTCAGGTATGAGGCCACTCATAATTAAAAAAAAATATTTTCTATGAATTACATCACACACAAAACACACCTTTTCTTGTATTATTAAATTACATATTCCCTGCTCTTTAGAACAAGAATTTACACATGAAAATTTAGCCATACGTTTCAATCTGAAAATTAACAGATGAAGTAGAAAAATTTTCAAAATATGTTCTGATACTTACATAAACAGTACCATCTTTAATAGCAGAGCATGTTTTCAATTGTTTACAACACTATGAAACCCTCAAAGTCAAAGGAATATTTGAGAGTCCATGTTGCTGGGAAACATGCTACTACACAAGTTTTGTTTGCTGCTAAAGCATTTATTTTTATGTCAATTTAGAGAGCATTTCAAGCAAATCAGTAAAACACCCCCAAACCACCACACAATCCGGACTAGTCCTTTCAGTGACAGCTGTTTATACTGGAATAAACAAGAGATGCAAGAACAGAGAAAGTGTGCACTAGGAACAGAAATCTCAGGCTAGAAAAACTATGCATAGAAATCTAATTTTAATTCAAGCATCAAAGAGCCACTGTCAAAAGCAATTCATCTGTCATGGACTTATCTTTGCTCTTCTCTCAGACACCTTTAGAGGTCACATCCCCCTCAGTGGAGGGTGCCTCCACCACAGAAAGGGGGAAGCGAGACTTCTCAGTTTCAGACACCAACAGTTAGGAAGTGACTTCTACTTCAGTTAAACAAACACAAAATGAAATTTCATCCCAGGCTTTTAAAACAAGAATAAATTGTTATTCACAACAAAATTCAACACTAATGCAACCCTTTACAGACCATTCATTACTAGTATCCTTTATTTCCAACACAGCCCAACATGTAGCAAATCTTTACATCCCTCGCACTCCCTATTTTAGCCAGAAATAAACTTAACCTGTTTCCTAGTCAAACTTTGCTGTTTGCAACTACTTCTCTGCTTTAGGTGAAGCATATGCTGCAGTATCTCAAGGAATTAGCTAGTAAAAGAACATGATAATACGGAAATAACGAATATAATCCAGTATTTCACTAACCAGAAAGACAGATGGAATAAACTGCAACTAACTACTTGGAATTTGTCCAGGATTCTCATTAATAGGATTAACATCCCTCTTCTGATAAAACATGTCCAAGAACTTTCAACTAGCTCAAGAGGTCAGGACTTGGTTTTGTTTTGCCTCTCATTCACAAAAAGATAGCATTAACAATCACTGTAAAGCTTCAGCATGACACCACGCTAAGGCCAACCTTGTCCACTGCAGACTCACAGCCAAGCCTAATGTACAGACCTTTCATATATAAGTTTCTGTAGCACACAGGTTACCTGGGAGTCTCCAATGAAGACTAGTACAGTTTAGTTTGGATCATCAGTCAAGATCATCACAATGGGAAAGGGAACGACCACTTTCAGTAAAAAGTGTTGAAGTTCATGTTGACTCCTTTTATTTTTATTAAAACATGCAGAATTTATGGTTCCACACTTAAAAAATAGAAAAGCGTGATTCCACCCCCCCCGTATTAAAAGGAAAACCACATCACTAAGAGGAGCAAAGAACATCTCCTTCTGGTCTAAGACAGCCATTCCCACCTCTCGCATTTGGTCTTTTCACTGTCACACTAACATGGAAAAAGGAAATGAGATTCTTTTCCCTCCAACTCAAGGTGTAAACACAAATTGGATACCTACATGGGCAATGCAGTATTGCTGCTGGACCCAAAAGAATAAGAAATGTGCATCATGTCAAATAGTCTTTACCAGAAAAAAAATTGATTGGAGTGACACTGAAAATAGGATTGGGAGTAAAGGAATTTTTTGGAACTATATCCCAAGTAAAAGTTTCCTAAATAATGCTAAGCTTTAACTTTGAAATTTTTTATCTTTTTCTATATTCCAAAAGCATCCTCTCTCCTCCTCCCATCTACTAAAATATTATCAAACGCATTTGAAAAGCACCATAATTAACTGAAAAATTCTACAGTTGCAAGATATGCCAAGTCTTGTGGAATACCCTAAGAACACAACTATTGACTAACTCACAACATGTTCTGGCACTTTTGATACGCCATGTATGGTACACATATGCCATGTACCATAGCATCTAAATTACGAAGTGGCAATGCTACAATCCTTCCCATCTTTAGAGGAAGGTCTCAAAGAGCTCCGAGAAGCTACTGTCATCATTTTTACTCAGCAGGACAACATGCTCCAGCCCTCTCTTCTATCTGTACAGTTATAGGTTGAATGCAGAGGAGAAAACAGACTGAGTAGGTAGAAATAACAGAGGCAAAGTCTCTCAAGAAACCTATGTAGCTCTTCATTTACAGGCTCTTAAGCCACAGGATCAGCCCCCTCCAGGTCCACTAAAAATGCCCTGTGAAGAAGGACTTGGGGGTACTAGTGGATGAAAAATTGGACATGAGCCACCAATGTGCACTCACAGCCCAGAAAGCCAACTGTATCCTGGGCTGCATCAAAAGAAGCGTGGGCAGCAGGGCAAGCGAGCTGATTCTGTCCCTCCACTCTGCTCTGGCAAGACCCCAACCTGGAGTCCTGTGTCCAGCTCTGGAGCCCTCAGCTCAGCAGAGTCATGGACCTATTGGAGTGGGTCAGGAGGAGGGCCACAAAAATAATCAGAGGGATGGAACACCTCTCCTATGGGGAAAGGCTGAGAGAGTTGGGGTTGTTCGGCCTGGAGAAGAGAAGGCTCCAGGGAGACCTTACCTTTCAGTACTTAAAGGGGCCTTAGAAGCAAGCAGGGGACAGATATTTAAGCAGGGCCTGTTGCGAGAGGACAAGGGGAAATGGTTTTAAATTAAAAGAAGGTAGATTCAGACTAGATATAAGGAAGTATTTTTTTATAATGAGGGTGGTGAAACACTGGAACATGTTGCCCTATCCCTGGAAACATTCAAGGTCAGGCTGGAGGAGGCTCTGAGCCAGCTGATCTAGCTGAAGATGTCCCTGCTTATTGCAGTGGGGATTGGACTAGATGACCTTTAAAGGTCCCTTCCAACCCAAACTATTCTATGATTCTATGAAAAATGATAATATTATGAACACTGCATGACACACAATGCAGTCATAACCTCAGTTTCTTTCCACCATTTTTAATGCCCTGGTCACACTCAGGAAGGCCCTTCCTGACAGCAGCTTTTCAGTCATGAAGTTAAACTGAAAAAAAAAAACAACCCCACAACCAACAACAACTAAAAAACCTCAAACAAACCACTTTCTTTCTATTAAGTAATTGCTACAAAGAATCAGTTTCTTTGTGTATATTTGTAACTTGGTTTTAGAAGCTTATTATAAATGTCTCGTTTCCATGGGAAAAACAAAACAAATATATTAACTTTTTTTTTCCAAGTGTTACAAGTTCAAACAACTTGTCTGCAATTAAGTGACAATTGTCTGCAATTAAGGACGATCTCTTGGCTACTAACACTCTTCTTTTAGGTTTCCTAAAACATTCACTCCTGTTCATTTATTAGACTGACATTTTTTTCTTGCTACTTGTGATAACATACCAAGTTGTCTTGATGTAGTCTAGAAACATTATGTACATTAATCACAACAGTTAGTCGTATTTGAAGGAAAAAAGGGTTGTACTTTGTCTCTGTAAAATACATCACTCATCTAACGGATGCTTTCAATTTTCCAAGAATGTCGCTGTAATGTTAGCAGCACAAAGTCCAAGGCTAACTGACCTGTCAGCCTCACCTCTGCCTGGGAAGATCATGGAATAGATCCTCCTAGAAGCCATGCTAAGGCACGTGGAGGACAGGGAGGAGATTTGAGACAGTCAGCACAGCTTCACCAAGGGCAAGTCCTGCCTGACCAAACCAGTGGCCTTCTATGATGGAGTGACTACATCAGTGGACAAGGGAACAACTAC